TTCTGGGAGTTGAAGTCTGTGAGTCATGAGGGGGCCAAAGTTTCCTTCATGCTGGCTGAGGAATTCTGGGAGTTGAAGTCCACGAGTCATGAAGGGGCCATAGTTCCCCCATGCTGGCTCAGGAATTCTGGGAATTGAAGTCCGCAAGTCATGAGGGGGCCATAGTTCCCCCATGCTGGCTCAGGAATTCTGGGAGTTGAAGTCCACAAGAGCCGAGGTTGCCTACCCCTGGGCTAGTGGTTAAAAGCATCGGGCGAGAAAGAGGGAAACTGAGTTTAATTTATTCACTAAACGTTTATGCCACCCATCTCCCCGATAGGGCGACTCTAGTTCTGCCTTCTGTATTGTGCCCAGAGAAGCACCTGGACACATTCATGAAGCCACTAGAGGCCTTCTCCTATTTTGTCCCTTCAAGCCTCACAAGGGCTCCTTAAGCATTGTGCTCCTCTTTTGTGCCTGGCTCCCTCCCCGGGTACCCTGCTTCCTTCTAGAAAAGGAGGCTTCCTGGAAAGTCCCAGTTCCATCTCCTCGCCTGCCTGGAGCTTGCGTAATACTCAAGTTACCAGGGACAGGAAAGAAATGTGACAAGTGACGCTCACCCAGCTTCAAAACAAGAAGGGCAGGTCCACGGCGGCTCCAGCTTCTGCAGCGCCCAAGGCTTTGTAGGCAGTGGTGGGATTCAAATCTTTCAACAAGTGGTTCTGTTCGTCATCGCCGGCGTGACGCACTTTGCATATTTGTCATATTGTCATCACCGGCGCCATACGCCTCGCAGTGTCATCACCAGCCCGACGTGCCACACAGATTTATCATAACCGGTTCACCGAACTCAACAAAGTTAGGTATCGGTTCTGCCGAACCGATGCGAACCGGCTGAATCCCACTACTGCCTGTCGCAGCTGCTGGAAGGCGCTGTCTGGGCCAGAGATCTAAGGCAGGAGCAAGGGAGCCGCTCTGCTTAGGCTTATCAGGGCTGCCCTGCTCATCTTTCTCTCTCTTTTCAGGACCGGGTCATCTACCGAAGCCGCCACCAGCATGAAATCCATGCTGTGAAGTACTCGGCCTGCTTTGGGATCAGAACGTCCGATCACCGCCCTGTGTACGGGTTGTTCCGTGTCAAAGTGAGACCTGGACGGGACAAGTGAGTACGACTGCCATCCAGAGCCTCAGCGGGTGGTGCCTTTGAAAAGGCTTCGTTCAGAGGCCTCCCCCAGGTTCCTGCAGACACACTTGCATTGCAACACCTCGCTCCGAGTTGTGACTTAGAGGCCGGGTGATGAAGGCAGAGAGCAGCTTTTCTCCCTCAGAGCCGAGAAGGACTGAGGCTTTGGCTCTGCATTGGGATAAAAAAGTCTGTCAGAACTAGACCACCCTAGCCGTGAGAAGGCAGAGAGGCATCGGGCACCCTATACCTGGACTGTCCTGCTGAACTGCCTTTAATCCTAACAGCTGAAACTGGGGCTCAGAGACAGTCAGGGATATAAAATCCATCAGGCAGATGGGTGGTTCTGCTACTGAAAGAATACACTGCTCTGTATTTGCAGCTATTCTTAACTATTCAAAATCTCATGGAATAGCCGAGATCTTATACGATCTTGTGATCATTTTTTTTTAAGGCATATTTTTATTTTGGCATCTGTGCACAGTGGCTCACGTTGTATGGAAAGGTTAGTGACCCAACTAAGAGGGAAAAATCTAACCTAATTACTGCTAGTGTTTCCAGGCCGTGCAAAGGTGAAATGAGGGAAAACCAGGATGTCCCACAGAAAGTACAATACAGCACACACACACACACAAACATATTTCCAAATTTCATTACTGACAAAGAGTTAAAGAATTAAATTGGGAGACTAAGATGGCCATTTCGACCTCATTTGCTCTCTTCAGTTAGCCACACCCTTTATGGGATTCGAGTCATAAAGGGTGTGACTAACTGAAGAGAGCAGAGGAGCTCAAAATGGCCATCTTAGTCTCCCAATTTAATTCTTTAACTCTTTGTCAGTAAAAGAAATTTGGATTTGTAAATGTTTCGCAGTTGCAACTTGAGCCTGCTTATCGCCCCTAGTCGGGGGCTACAAGGCAAAAGAAATTGTAAAAAGTAAAACTGCAGTATAGCAGTCAAAATGCCAAGGTGTAATCAATCAGACAGGTCTGTCTGAAAAACCTCCTTGTATATATATGTTTTCTGAGGTTTTCGCGGGTGTTTGTTTGTAGGTCTTTGGTTATTCGTTTGTATGTAGGTCTTTGGTTATCGGTTTCTGCGGGAGAAAACCCGAATAACCAAAGACCTACATATGTACCATATATGCTGGCGTACAAGGCGACCCGGCGTATAAGACAACCCCTATCTTTGTCACTGAGCCACATTCCTAGAACGTTGTCTTATACGCCGGAAACTACCAGTATTTCCGGCGTATGAGATGACTCGGTGTATAAGACGACCCCCGTCTTTGGCGCCGATTTTAACGCTTGCGGAAGTCGCCTTATATGCTGGCATATACGGTATGTATGTATGTATGTACGTTTTCACAAGCCGGTTTGTGCTTTGTCCCATTCACCTACAGCATCCCGCTGGCTGCAGGCCTATTTGATCGAGAACTTTATTTGATTGGCATAAAGAGACGGATCACAAGGCAACTTCAGAAAAAACAAGCTCTAAAAAACCAGAAATCCAGCACGATCTGTTCCGTTTCCTGACCAAAGACACGCAAGACCTCCGAGGCAAGCGGAAGGACAGGCGGACGAGGCCTCCTTCAGCTCGTTCTGTGAAACCATGCTGGAAGGGCTCCAGCCAGCAGGGCCACAAAAGCGAAGGGCTCTTTTGAGGCTGGAAGTGGCCAGGCAGCCAATGGATTGGATCAAGATGTTATCCAGCGGGTAGCTTCCTCCCGCTCAAGAAGCTGTTCTTCCGGTGTCCCGTTGCTTGAGGAGGATCCTGGAATAAACCCGCAGGGTGTTGGCATTTTTGTGTGTTACACCAGCCACAAACATTTCTTTGCTTGGGAAGATATTTCTGAGGATCATCTTGGGGAACAAAGGAACACGTTCTGAGCCTTTAGCTAGGAAGTGAATTACGCGTCGAGCCTAGTTTGGTCCCCCAAAACCAACGTTTTCCCTACGAATTCTGGAAAGGTCCCTGGAATGCCAGAGGGGCAAGGGAAGACTCAGGAAGCACCAGCCTAAGGAGGTGATAGGGTGTGTTTCTTACCTTCAGGGAAGACAAGCCACCTCCTACCAGCTACATTCTTTTTAAAAAATCCATTAACTAAGAGAAAGTGGAAACCCATTCCACTCAATATAGGGCCTTGAATGGTGGCAAAAACCAGTATTTGCAATAGCAAAGGCCAATTTTAGCTGCTGCCAATGGTTGATAAGTAGTTATCCTTTCCCCTTCTCAGGTTTAGTCATCATTTTCCTGGATTGTGCTTGGGTTCAGAATTCCTTAAAATAAAAGGATGATGCAGAACTTAAAAATGTGTTTCTAGGGTGTCGACTGCTTCTTGAATCTCTGCGCTACTGATCTACCCTACCTAGAGCTTGGCTTAAAGCCTCATCGATGGAATTCCAGTATTTTCAACATGCAGCACACGTTTTGTCTTTCCCTCTTTATGGGAATCAAGCATTAAATTACAAGATTCAGAACGTGTACGTATAATGCGTCCTGTTGCTTGTAGCGCTGGATGGTGGCAGAGGGCCGTGTCCCAGAGCATTCTTCCAGCCTGCAACGTGGCAACTCCGTGAAAGAAATCTCTGGTAGATTCCTTGCCAAGCAAACCCCTGCAGAGCAAATTCATAGCCAATTGCAGCTGTAGTAAATGTGCCCTTTGCTTTCCTTTGCTTTCCTTTGCTCGAACCAGCAGTCCTGTGGTGGAGGACCAGGAGGTTGGCAAAGAATCGCTCAAGAGAAGAGGAAGATAACTGGCTATTCATTTAGCTGATACTTCAGGCTATTTTCAAGCAGTCCTCTCCTCCCTCTGCAATTGGACCGGTATCCTTTCATCTCAACAGAAATGCCATTGGAAAAAGGAGGATTTTGTCGGCCAGCCGAGCACAAGAGAAGGGTCCGTCTCCCCGCTGAACAGGTTTTCACCAGGTGAGGGGGAAAAACGTGAAGTGCACCATGAGCTGGACCAACCGATGCCTCGTAAGCGGTTCTAGAGCAGGGGGGGAAAGGACAGGCACCTTTATGCGTGCACGCACACAAAAATGTGGCTGCATGCGCATGCACGCGAATGGGGCTATGAGCACACACGCTCCACAAATGGGGCTGCTAGCGCCGGTGTGAGGCTTAAGCAGCTTGCAGCTCGGTTAGCGCAGCACAACAGAGTAAGCGTGCATACATGCGCACATGCACTGGCCAGCCACTCACACTGCCCAGTGGCCAAGAGGCCACCGCCTGATAGTGGGCCTGTGGCCCATAGGTTGGGGGCCTCTGTTCTAGAGCATTAGATGGTTCAAACTAATGAGGGCCTCCGAACAAAGTTATAACCTAAGCTTGAACTAATGACCTTCACTCTGCCTGCAGCCACATCGCCGCAATTTGAGCATTTGGCAACTTGCTCTCATTTACAACCAGTTGCAGCATCCCAGTCACGGCTGATTTGTGATTTTTTTTGCCAGTTTCTGGCAAAAATAACATTTGGTTTAAGCTGGATTCACACTTAGGACTGTGGTGACTTATTACTGCTATACAGGTGGCTGTGAAATCAGGTCCAGTCACACGATGTCTCAATTTAGGACAATTTACAACAGATTCTGGTTCCAATTGTGGTCCTAAGTCAAGGGCTCCCTATGTGAGAAAAGTTCTCATCTGGGGTCAAAAAGTAACAGAAAAAAATGGCACCTGAAAAACTGTCTTATTACTGCAACTAAAAACCCAACATAGACAGTGAATAAATCTCCCGATCTTAAAGTTCAGTTTTGTTGCAACCAATTGAAAATACGATTTACCACTCATAGTTTAAACTTAATTTTGAAAACAAAGTCAACATACCACAGTGTAGCACCCTCATTAACTCTTTTATCTGTATTCTTCGCCATGGACGTGGCTCAGATTTACTGTCCCTTAATTCAAGACAAATCGACAAGGACAGGAATTTGAAATACCAAAATAGCAATCTGATTCGTTAGGAGCAGCTCTCGTCAACCGTCCGGCCTCCATCTTCTCATTTAGTTTGAGTCTCACAAAGTAAGTTATTTTTAAAGCTGAACAGAATTTGAACAGATGTGGAAAAGGCTCTGGCGAACACCTTCCTCCGATGCCCAGTGTGCGCGCCAAGTCGCCCTCTTGGCAGAGAAGAAGCACTTGGCGAGCAACGGGTCGTCTCGACCAAAGCCCTGGGTGGGGCAGCTGCAACCTTAACGGAACAGCCGGTACACCCTGGGAAGGCGCCCGTCCTTGCTGGCGAGGGCGGCCTGGAGGTCCTCGTAGCTGGGCAGCTCCCGCAAGTCCCCCAGGGCAGCCACTGCCGGCCTCTTCCGCAGCATCTTCGTCGCCACCCGCCTGATGTCACCGGCACTCACTTTGTCTGTGCAGGAGGGAAACGGAGGCCACCAGCATCAGTCTGTGCGGCGCCGTGTGACACCCGCTCCCACACAAGGCTGCTCCACCACAATGTGGGCCAGGCTACCTCGGGATCCGCCGAGAGTGGGCCCAGAGACCCAGGAGGAGCAAAGGGAGGGAGAGCCCAAGGGGAAGGCCTCCAGCTGGGGAGGACGGTGAAATCCCACAAGGGGCTTTGGGCCGCAGAGCAAGGGAGGTGGGCTCACTCCGGCAGCAGACTCGGAAACCAAGGACCCCTCCCAGAATTTTCTCCTCCAGTGGGGAGGCTCCATCGAGCCGCAGCTCGGGAAGCCGAGCCTTTCACTCACCGATCAGGACACAGAGCTCCTGCGGCAGCTTCCTCCCTCCCGTGGCCAAGACCTGTCTCCCGACGTCCTCGAAAATGACCGGCCGAGACTCCAGGTTCATCATCAGCATGGACCGCAACTGGGTCTTGGCCCGCTCCAGTTCAACCGAGAGGGGGAGGCAATGGAGCCGCTCCAGCTTCTGAAAGAGGGCCCTGCTCCGAGCCCAAAGCCCCGACACAAACCCTCCTCCCCAACGTCTTACCTCTCCCAGGGCTCCAGCCATTAAAACGAATTCCCGGGTGATGATTTCCACCATTTCACGGACCTGCAATCGAGGAGGAGATGCGGAGGAGCCGAGCGTGAGAACCGATTCCATCCCAGGCCTCTCCCTTCCTGGAGGGTGGAGGCCTTCGGGGGAGACCTCGGGGGCAAGGGCAGGAAAGGAGGCCTTCTGCTCGCCAGGCCAGGTGAGGGGGCACTGGGGACGGCTGCTCCCTCGCCTGCTGGCCTGGTAGATGTAGCCCAATCTCCAACTGTCTAAGAGAGGACGTGCCTGGCGGATGAGGAATCCATTCTGAGGACCAGCTCACCTGTCTGGGATCTGCACTGGCGTGGATGCACAGGAGGCCGGTGTCCTCGTAGCTGTGGTGGTAGGAGGTGGCGTTGTACATCCAGTGGTGCCTGGGAGAGAGCAGCAGAGAAGGGGACGGGGGAATATCAGCGGCCTTGTAGGGTTCCCTAAGAGCCTCTGGCAACTGTGGGTCCTCCTCAAGAGTCGGACCACATGTCCTATCAGCCCCAGCCACCGGTTGACCCAGGGAAGGCTGCTATGATGCAGAAAGGGAAGTATCAGCCAGTCGGATTCCCAAAGAATTCTGCCAGACACGCAGATACATTCGCAAGAGACGCAACGGCTGATTGGGGACAACCCAGATCGGGACTGCTCAGCAATTCAGCACGTTGTGCAAAGCCATCTGGTTCACTCAGGCTGCAATCTATCCTGCGTTCACAGCAGGAGCAGGAGCTCTATCCCTGCTGGATTAGCAAAACAAAAACAAAAAACCACCCCACAATTCAAGCTAATTGTAGGGACCCACCTCAATCTTACATCTTAAGACAGAACTCTTGGAATGTCTCTTCCCACAGAGATATTTATTAAGAGAAGCTGATTGCAGGCATGCTAGACAGGATCTGGGGGATCCTCTCCCACCATTCAATGTTTTAAACTGTTTCCAAGCAGCCCCCACCCCACAGTTCTTCCAGGCGATTCAATCCGTCAGTCCGCTCCACTCATCCTCTCTTTTCCCAGATCCCAGGCGTTGTATTTCCCACCCCCTTTTTCCTCACTGCCGGCAAAGGGGAGTGAGATGAAAGGCGATGGCCACATTGTTATGGTTAGTTCTCTCCATGAGAATCCACAAACGGTCACTTTGTAGTTAAAGAAGGAAGTGAGAGTCATAAACCCCCCCATGCTTTCCCTCCTCCCTTTTCGTAGTATGACAGACTCCAGACTAGAGTCAGAATTGGTTTTTCATCAGAGTAGGTAGATAGAAATATGGTTTAGCACAGTGGTTCTCAACCTGTGGGTCGGGACCCCATTTGGGGTCGAATGACCGTTTCATGGGGTCACCAAACAACGCAGTCCGCTATTCCCCCCCCCCTTTTCCTTAGCTGTGCTCCTCCCTTTTATTCTATTGGCTTTTGAAAGCCAATAGAATAGACTCTCTTGAATAGAGTCTAATTCTATTGGCTTTCAAAAGCCAATAGGAATTGTCCAGGCTGTCTCTGCCCTGCTGAGCCCGCCAAAAGTCCCTTTCTGCAAACGGTGCTGCACCAGTTGAGTAGTCCTCGACTTACAACAGGTTGAGTAGTCCTCGACTTACAACCGGTTGGGGGTGGCGGCATGAAAAAGGTTGAGAACCACTGGCTTAGCACAATGTGTAAACTGACTACTCCTTTGTCCACTCAGACAGTCTCCCCCCTCCCCAACTTCCAAATGGAAGGTCAGCGCCCTTCCCGCCCCCAGGCTCCGGCTCCGCTTGTCTCCACTCCTGGCTCTTAGCAGTGAAGCGAAGACAGAGGGACCCACCGATTGAGGACGTTGAGATACAGCCGCGTGAACATGCCTTTGCCGGGGCCTCCAGCCGAGAAAGACCCACCGCCGCCCATCATCATGTTTAAGACAGCGAAGGGAATGAAGTCTTCCTCCTGGAGCAGAGAAGCCAAACCAGATGGGTCACTCAGACGTCCAGCAAAAGGGCCGCCCCGGCTAGAAGCGGATGCTTACCAGAAACGAGCAGCTTTCCAGTCCAATCATGATGTGGGCCAACTCTGGGATGGGGGTTGGCCCTAAACTCACATCTGACATGTCCTTCTCAAGCTGCAGAGAGAGGGAGAGAGTCCGTGGTGTGCCTAGAGCCGTGGTGGCGAACCATGGCACGGGTGCCAGAGGCGGCACTCAGAGCCCTCTCTGTGGGCGCGCGCGCCGTCGCCCCAGTCCCAGGCCTTCAGCTGGGTTTTATAAAACCTTTTCGCTTTAGGCCTCCGCCGCCGTGTGCAAAAAAAGCAAGGTTCAATCAATCAATTTCAACTTATTGCGGGGGGGGGGGAGATCACGCAAAGTTAGAATTGATTGATTGAACTTTTTAGTCCCACCCAGTCTGCTGTTACCACAACCATGCCCACCCAATAGGCCAAGCCCATCCAGTGGGCCACACCCACCCGGCACTCGACGATGCATAAGTGGGTTTTGGGTTGCAGTTTGGGCACTCGGTCTCTAAAAGGTTCACCATCGCTGCTCTAGACTATTCTTTTTACCTTCAGCTTTTTAAAGGGTGCTTTTTACTGCTTTTAAATGCTTGGACTGCCTTGTGCTTATTTTTATCATTGTGAGTCGCTCTTTATGTTCATTTTGAAAGAGGCACAGAATCCTTGACTTACAGTCGCGGGTCGGGGATGTCGTTAATTGAGGCATCCACGTGATTGCCTGACTCAAAACTACTGTGCTGGCTCTCCCAGGGGCCTGGGAGGGAAGCAGCCGAAAGAGGTCTGAGCTTTGTTCCACCAGCCGAGCATGCCGTTCCCTCCTCTTTCAAGACTTTAGACACACTGCAAATCCGATCTTTCTGGAGCGGAGAAAATCTCTCTCCCCCCCCCTCTTTCAAAGGACCTTGATGATATTCAGATATTTGGGATCAACATCCATAATGCCCCGTCTTCGTGGTCAAAGAAATACAGTAACTGGCTACATTCTACATGTACTGCACATCCTTCCGATATTGTTTTTATTTCTTTACCTTCGTTCTAGCTGCTCCGAGAACAAATTTAAGGCAACTCCTCCATTTTAAACCGTAACAAATCGCTTTATGAAACCAAGAGATGCCAAAGTGGCTTTGCTTCCCAACGTGCCAGTACTGAGTCCTTGGCACTGAAATGAACTCCAGCTTCAGGCTAGTTTTTCTGTTCCTTCCGCCCATCTCGGCAGAGCTTGGCGAGAGAAGCAGAGAGCGCCCCCCCCCCCCCTTCCTCACCTTGAGGATCCCGCCAGTGTACTGGGCAACTGACTTGTCCACATCCTCAGCTTTCCCGTTTCCCCACACTGGCACGGCTCCCAGGAAGTACTTGCGAGCACAGTCCACAAGCTGCTGGTGTTCGATTCCCACACCAGCCAACACCATCCTGTCGGGGGTGTAGTAATTCCTCAGGTACGAGTGGAGGAGCGCCCTGTCGATTTTCTCAATGTTCTCCGCCGGACAGAACCTGTTCAATCCCACGGTGTTTTCCCTGTAAGCGGCCTGTGGGAAGGGCAAGCTCAAATGATTTTCAGAAAACAAGGCAATGACAAACATACATTTGACCACAACTTCCTTGCTTTAGGATTATGGTGGGCCACTTGCACCGGGAAGAGCCCTGGCTGCTCAACTCTGTGGATCAAAATACAAGCTCCAGTGAGCAGAAGGGAGCTCATACCTTGAAAATAACAGCCTCCCCTAAAGGCTCTCCTAAACATGCACTGGATTGAGCAGTTGATGGTAGGCCTTCACTGTCTGATAAACCTTGATTTGAACCCAGGTCTCCCTGATCCACGGCCTGAACTACTGAGAACATCTTCGAAGGGACCTCCCTCTGCCCCCAACGTCACGGCCTGCAAGCAGTTCTGTGCGTGAAGCGCTGTGGGCCCAAAGCTGAGAAGGGGCTTTGAGCAGGGATGGGTGCAGATGCAGTAGGTGAGGTTCCCCCTCAAAGACGGAGCATTGCATCTTGGGCTGCACGATCCAAGAAAAATACAGATTACAGGAGAAATCAACAGTGCCCCCCCACCCCCTAAAGCAGTGGTTCTCAACCGATGGGTCGGGACCCCATTTGGGGTCGAACGACCGTTTCGCAGTCCGCCATTTTTTCCCCTTTTCCTTAGCTGTGCTACTCCCTTTTATTCTATTGGCTTTCGAAAGCCAGTAGGAATTGTCCAGGCTGTCTCTGCACTGCTGAGCCCGCCAAAAGTCCCATTCTGCAAACGGTGCTGCAACGGTTGAGTAGTCCTCGACTTACGAGCGGTTGAGTAGTCCTCGACTTACGACCGCTTGGGGGTCGCAGCATTAAAAAGGTTGAGAACCACTGCTCTAAAGCATAATGTCACACTACTCTGTTGGCCAGAAGGAAAGACACGGGTTTTTTTTGGGGGGGGGGGGACACCCAAACTCGCACAAAGCTCCATTTTGACTTTGCATTCCCCAATGCTGCACACCACTGGGCTATTCGTTCACTTCCCAAACCGCAGGCAGGAACACAACGCATTGGCACAACATCTTTTGCCTTATTGTTCCTTCCCGCCTCACCTAACGAGCACCTAATGCTCCTCGTAAGAAAGACAAACTTGTTTCTTCTGAAAACTATTCAGGTCCTGCATCCACCACTGAAAGGGAATTCTCAGCCACACTGAGGAAGCCCCCACGGGCGTCCTCAAACTCCTCAGGGGTTGCCCTCCCTGGCATGCTGATAACAGGGTCCTTCCCCCACTTGCCCCCCCCCAGCTCAATCCAGATTAGAAGGCCACTGAACAGCTCGGGGGCTTCATGGGGCAGAATGCCAGAGGGCCTTACTGCGTGGATCATCTCAGTCAGCAACGGCTCTGGATCGGGCCTCATGTTCAGGTCCTGCAGCTCAAAGCGGACCGCCATTCGAGTCATCTCGATTTCCTCATCTGCCAAGAGAAGCCAAGGAGGACCCCCTTTGGATCCAGGCCACAGGACCCAACCTCCTCCCAAGGGACAACGGCCCAAAGCCCCTGGAGGAGGAGGGAAATTCCTACCCACGTCCCAAACAGCCACCAAACCCCACAGAATCAACCTGTGTTCCTTCCCAGCAGATACATTTGATTGGGCACCCACCTACACCCCTCCTGCCATCTTGGCCTCTCTCACTCCTGTCCTTCCAAATTATGCCACTGCACCACATTCTCCTCTGGCAGAAATCACAAACACCTTTATGGCAACGCAGTTTGCGTTCAGGTGGGAGAGCGAAATCCTGCCTGGCTCTCTTCTCTTGAGGCACAGAAGACGCTGTGACAATCTCACCTGGCAATCTACTTTCTTAACTACACATACACACACACACACACGAAGATTACCTGACAGTCTGGGCTGGAGAACCACATCAGCTAAGAGACTGACCATGGGGTCCAGGCCCCTGCTATCTGCAGAAATGGCATACATGGTGGTATCCCTGAAAGAAGAGCAAAAGAGCCGAGGTGGCGCAGCAGTTAGAGTGCAGTACTGCAGGCCACTTTAGCTGACTGTGTTCAGCAGGTCAGCGGTTCAAATCTCACCGGCTCAAGGTTGACTCAGCCTTCCATCCTTCCGGGGTAGGTAAAATGAGGACCCATATATATATATTGCTTACTGGTATATAAGTCTCATAAATGAATAAATAAATAAATAAATAGGTTTCATGTTCTACTGGGGGGGGCATGGTCTCCACCCAGGGTGTGAAGGCAGGATTAAGCCTCCGCAACAAAGGACCTTAAACCTCTGCATGAAAAATGGCACACTGCATCACTCAAACGACAGAATCTCCCATTAGCCTCTCTGTGAAGGATAGAGGGGATCACATACTAAAATGGGAGCTAGGAAAAATCCCAAAGATGCTTTTTCACTGACTATGACCTGGACGATTGAGAATCCCCATAGACAAGAGTTAGGGGTAAAGTATGCCATATATAATAGGTTCCAGTCAAAAGCCACCCAGCTCGGATTTGTCGAAGCACCGCCTGGCCAAAGGAGGTCCGAAAGGAAACAGACCTTGACACCTGGCAATCACAAATGCCTCCGTGCTTCTCCAGCGTGAGAAGGATCTCATCCTTGCTGCTAAACTGAGCTGTAGACTAAACAGAAAAGGAAGGAAGCAAAGGAGATCATTTTCCTGGAAGGATTGGGTCGAGAAGGCAAAAATAAAATGCAACTAAATTATATGCAGTTAAGCCCTAATACAGGGGTTGGCCACCTTGGCTCTTTGATGGCTCGTGGACTTCAACTCCCAGAATTCCTCAGCCAGCCATGCTGAGGGGAAAGGGAGAGGTTTCCAAGCTGAGCCATGCTGGCTCGGGAATTCTGGGAGTTGAAGTCCACGAGTCATAAAGCGGCCTAGGCCAGGGGTTGGCCACCTTAGCTCTTTGATGGCTCGTGGACTTCAACTCCCAGAATTCCTAAGCCAGCCATGCTGAGGGGAAAGGGAGAGGTTTCCAAGCTGAGCCATGCTGGCTCAGGAATTCTGGGAGTTGAAGTCCACCAGTCATGAAGGGGCCATAGTTTCCCCCATGCTGGCTGAGGAATTCTGGGAGTTGAAGTCCACCAGTCATGAAGGGGCCATAGTTCCCCCATGCTGGCTGAGGAATTCTGGGAGTTGAAGTCCACCAGTCATGAAGGGGCCATAGGTCCCCCATGCTGGCTCAGGAATTCTGGGAGTTGAAGTCCCGGAGTCATAAAAGAGCCAAGGTGGCCTATCCCTGCCCTACTACCGTTAGAGGTTTGCTGGCAGCTTTTGGAGCAGAATTCAGGCCCAGAGCCTAGCAGGCAGGAAGATCCAGAGAGGGGGGAACGTGACCTGCCTGGGAGGCCTCGCTTAACGCCCACGGGGCCCCCAAGCCCCCCAGGCTGGCCGTTAAGCCCGACCCTTCCGCTTTCCAAACCAAACCCGGGGAAGGCACTCACGGAAAAGGCCAACTTCTCCAGGAAGTGGGAAATGCCGCCGGTGTACTTGGCTTCGTATCTCGACCCGGAGTTGATCAGGACTGGTCAGAGGGCAGAAAAGCCGGGCAGACGGGTCAGTTCTCGGGCCCGCCGGGGCGCCGGCCTCGCTTTGGGCCGGCTGGGCGCTCCGGCCCCCGGCCCCTCGACCCGCCGCCCCCCCCCCGCGCCCCTTACCGCCCAGGGTGCAGAAGGGCCCGAACCTCCTCTGGGAGGCCACGCGCAGCCCGCCCTCCAGGGCGCTGACCTCCGTCTCGAAGCCCTCCGGCCCGTCCAGGCCGGCGAAGGTGGGCTTGGGCAGCCCCGGCAGAGGGGCCGTCAGCGGTGTGCCGGGGTAGCCGCCCCCGCTGCTGAACCGCCGCGACCCGGCGAGGCCTAGCCTGCAACGGGAGGGGGGGGAGGCTGAGGCCCTCGGCGCGGGGCAGGAGAGGCCGGAGCCCCGCGGAAGAGCCGGAGGGGACCCTCGTCCCTGCAGGAGGGCGGCAAAAACCCCCAGCGGCAGCCCCTGGAGGGGGAGTGGGGCAGCGAGGCCCTCCCCTGTGGAGTCCCCTCGGCCGGAGGGCACGAAAATCAAGGCCGAGGCCTCGACTCACCTCCGCGCCGGGCCCAAAAGGCCCCTCCGCACCGCGCTGGCCGCCATCTCGTTCGCCGAGGAGGAGGAGGAGGACGCCGATTGGTCGGGGGACGGCGCCGGCGATTGACGGGAGAGTCCCGCCCCCACTTCCGGCATGGGCCGGAGACGCAGCGCCGGAAGTCCCTCAGCTCCGCCTGCCTGTATGCGGGGCGGGAGACGGGACCCCAAAGGTCAAAGGGTTCCTCGTCCCACCCCCTCGCCGGACGGAGACAACATTTGCTACTGCGCAGGCGGCATCTGGGCGATGGAGGTAAGGAGGACGCCGATTGGTCGCTCTGGCGATGGCGGCGATTGGCAAGAGGACTCCTAGGGGCGGTCGCTTCGAGCGAAAGAGGAAGAGCATCCAGGAAAAGGCCGCGCAGAGAAGTCCCGCCTCCACTTCCGGGATGAAACGAAACTGAGGCGCCATATTGACTCTGCCGCGGACGGGCTCGGATCCAGGTGGGGCGCAAGGGATGCTGGGAGTGGCAGTCCGAGGGGCGCTCTGGGGGAGGGAGGGGGGAGGCCGAGGCCTGGTCTGGCGGGACGGGCGCTGGGAGGGAGGCCTGCCCGGAAAGTCCCACGGAGAGGCCGAGGCTTCGGCCTTCCTCCCCGGGCGGGTCTGGGACTCCCCTCCGGGGAAGGGACGAAGCCGTGACCCGCCTCTCCTCCCCCCCTTCGCCCCTGCAGGAGGACGGGCGAGCCCGGCGGAGGAAGGAAGGAAGGAAGGAAGGAGGCGCCGCCCGAGAGGAGAGGAGGCCCCGCGGAACAGCCCCGGGAGAAGACGGCGGGGGAGGCCCGGCAGGGATGAGCCGAAGGGGACTCCGGGAAAGGAGGCCGCCCGGAGGGAGAAGCGGGGAGCAGGAAACGGGCGGAGACCCCGAGACGGGCCTGGAGGGCGGAGGGGCCTTCGGGACAGGCGGGAGACTCAGAAAACACTACAGAATCCAGGAGGCAGGAGAGAAATATGAATGCCCGGAATGTGGAAAATCCTTCAAAAGAAATGGAGATCTTAAAAAGCATCTAATAATCCACACAGGAGAAAAACCATTTAAATGCCCGGAATGTGGAAAATCCTTCAAAAGAAATGGGCATCTTAAAAGCCATCAAAGGATCCACACTGGAGAAAAACCTTATACATGCCTGGAGTGTGGAAAGAGTTTCAATCAGAGGAGCAGCCTTTATGTACATCTAAGAATCCACTCAGGAGAAAAACCATATAAATGCCTGGAGTGTGGAAAGAGCTTCAGTCAGAGCAGCAGCCTTTATACCCATCAAAAGATCCATTCAGGAGAGAAACCACAGAAATGCCTGGAATGTGGAAAGAGCTTCAGACATATGAGCAGCCTTTATGTACATCAAAGAATCCATTTAGGACAGACACAGCATAAATGCCTGAAGTGTGGAAAGAGATTCAGTCAGAGGGGAAACCTTTATAGACATCAAAAGATCCACTCAGGAGAAAAACCGTATAAATGCCTGGAGTGTGGAAAAAGCTTTGATCGGAAGTTCAGCCTTTATATTCATCAAAGAATCCACTCAGGAGAAAAACCATATGAATGCCTGAAGTGTGGAAAGAGTTTCAGGCAGAAGAGCAACCTTTATGTACATCAAAGGATCCACACAGAAGAAAAACTGCATAAATGCCTGGAGTGTGGAAAGAGCTTCAGACATAAGAGCAGCCTTTATGTACATCAAAGTATCCACACAGGAGAAAAACTGCATAAATGCCTGGAGTGTGGAAAGAGCTTCAGACATAAGAGCACCCTTTATGTACACCAAAGGATCCACACAGGAGAAAAACTGCATAAATGCCTGGAGTGTGGAAAGAGTTTCAGGCAGAGGAGCAACCTTTATGTACATCAAAGTATCCACACAGAAGAGAAACCACATAAATGCCTGGAGTGTGGAAAGAGCTTCAGTCAGAGGAGCAGCCTTTATATACATCAAAGGATCCACACAGGAGAAAAACGGCATAAATGCCTAGAGTGTGGAAAGAGCTTCACACATAGGAGCAACCTTTATAAACATCAAAGAATCCATTCAGGAGAGAAACCATATAAATGCCTCCAGTGTGGAAAGAGCTTTACAGAAAGTGGAGGTCTCCATAAACATCAAAGAATTCACACAAGAGAAACCCTATAAATGCCTGGAATGTGGAAAGAGCTTCAAGAGGGCGGGAATTCTGTATAATCAAAGGATCCACACAGGAGAAAAACCCTATGTCTGGAGTTTGGAAGATGTGAACACTTACCCTTCATTGCTGTAAGGACCCACCCCACTTTGCATCTTATGAAGACAGAACTCTTGGAATAATTCTTCCAACAGGAATCCTTTATTAAGAGAAAATGGTTGCAGGCGTGCTAGACAGGACTTGGGGTTCAAGCTCTCCCATTCAAGGTTTTAAGGGGTTCCCCAGTAGTCCCACCCAATCAACCCCCCTTCCAGTGATAGTTTCAAGTATCACAATTCCACCCCCTTTCTTCTTTCTTCCGTCTGGATGGAGACTTCAGATAACTACATGAAAGGCAAATACCCTTCTTTGGTATGCTAACGCTTTGGTTACAATAAACAACATTCAGCTCTTTGAAGTGTACTGAAGGAAGTGAGGGCCATAAAGCCCCTTTGTTCTCCCCCTTCTCTCCCTCTTATGGCAGAATCCAGAGAAGGCAGAATTGGGGTTTTCTATATTTGATGATTAAAGATGAAATATAATTGGATTCTGACATCCGGCCCCTCTTACAAATAAGAGAGATCCACCTGAAAGAAAACAAAACAGGTATAACACTTAGTCAGGCTTGTTAGGATACTCTGTGTGAAACTTCTTCAATAGCTTCGGGGCTCTGACATGACGTTTATGGACCCACTCGTTTTGTGAGGGAGGGAGGTGTTTCCAGGCAACTAGGTACTGAGTTGCTCCATGATATCTCCTAGAATCAAGGATTTCTTTTATTTCGAAGTGTTGTTCACCCTCCACCATGACTGGAGGTGGTGGGGGGGGGATTTTTGGCCGTAGAGGTGACTGATGCTCTCTTTTCAGCAAGCTGCAATGAAAAATTGGGTGTATTTGCCTGAGATTTTTGGGTAATTCTAATTCTACTGTTACTGGATTTATGATTCTTTTAATTGGAAAAGGTCCTATATATTTTGGTCCAAGTTTTTTACAGGGCTGTAGGGACTTTAGGTATTTTGTAGATAAGTACACCATTTCTCCTATAATGAATGGTGTAGGCTCAACCCTTTTTTTATCGGCTTGTGCTTTGTATGCCTGCCTAGCTTCATCTAGTGCTTTTCTAACTATTGGCCAGGTGTTTTGTAGTTTTTCCATCCATTCTTTCAGCGAAGGGATCGTTGGTTCGTTTGGGGTTAATTCTGGCATGGGGTTGAAACTTTGACCGGTGGCTATTTGAAAAGGAGTGTAACCTGTGCTGGAGTGGACTGCATTATTGTAGGCAACTTCTGCAAAAGGGAGTAAGTCCGCCCACTCGGTCTGCTGGAAACTAAGAAAACATCTTAAATATTGCTTAAGTACGGAGTTCATTTTTTCAGCCGATCCATTTCCTTGAGGGTGGTGGCTAGATGTCAGTCCCTGAGTGGTTCCTAAGAGGGATAAAAATTCCTTCCAAAATGCAGACGTAAATTGCACCCCCCTGTCAGAGATGATGCGTTGGGGTGCCCCATGCAATCTGTAAATGTGTTGGATGAAAAGTTTTGCTAAGGCTTTTGCAGTGGGAATCTTTTGGCAAGGGATAAAGTGCACCTGTTTGGAAAACAAGTCCGTGACCGTCCAGACCACAGTATTCCCATTGCTTTCTGGCAATTCTCATCCTTTGTGGGTCAACATGAGTGTGTAATGTATTCTCATCTGAAACATTCAAGAATAAGTAAACTTACGGAAAGCACCATTTTACTCTTCCCTTTGTTGCTACTCTCTGTTTAATGATTGTGCTGTTCTGTCATGCCTAATAGTTGAATTTGAATAGCTTTACACACTTTTCAACGGGTACGTAATCTCCTGAGTAGAAGTGTATTCAGTTCCACAAACTCGTATCACAATTTCTTCTGATTGGTGAGATTTCTTTTTGAGATCCAGAAGCTGCTATTGGAATGTTCTGGAGAAACTTTCCAATTTACATTGCGTCCACGGTTCTTTCCATGGGCCTGGAAATCAGAGCGCTCTCTCCTGGGTTAATTCTTCCCTTGAAGTAAGACTTTCACCTCTTCTGTACCTTTTGGACCACTCCCTCCTTCCACACAGAGAACAAACTGCACTCTTGGTTATTAATGAGCCAATTCTCCCTTTTCTCTCTTTTTTCCTCTTACCTGATCCTTAGTATTACCTTTGCTCTCTGCTTAGCCATTCACGTTATTTGGGCCGTAACCTTTGCCTCCTGTGAAGACCTCTGTGTTGCAGGAATACAGTCCTTGCTGAGGGCCAAGAAACAGGTTTCTTCTACTTGGTTGCACTTTCTTGTAACGTTAATATTTTTATGAAACTCTTGTAATATGGAAGGTTTCTGCTTTAGCATCCAGTTGCTTGTAACTTTCTAGCTGCAAAACAAGGGACTCTCTCAGGCTGAATAACCAAGGACTTTTTCAATTGTACATGCTAAAGGTTTCAGCTGGCTGAAATTGTATCTTTTCTCAATAGATTTAAATGGCTCAAGATGCCTTTTCCCATGGGAACATTCTCCTTTTAATACAGTGGTTTTAAATGATTATGTTATTATGGGATGTTTCTGAATGTAACAGGATTTCTTCCATCCAACCAATCAACTATTCTTTTGTACTTTTTCTACTGTATTTGTCCTGGGCTCCTCTTTTCATTAAAGGAAACCTTGTAAGATTAATGTTGCTTTTAAATGATCTTCTAATTTGAACAAGAGTGCCGTGGCAGAATCTAGGAAGGAAAGACTCTCAGCTTCATCAGATTGGAGCAAAAGGTGCCTCTGCTAGAAACCAATTCTGGGCTTCTCTGAACTTCATCGCCTTTCATTTCCCCCCTCCCTGTTTCCCATCACGTACAAACATATTGTCCATTTGTCCAGCCCTCCTGCCCCCAATGCCCCTCCAGATGGTAGGAACTGGCAGGACCTGACACTGGGGCTAATTTGGCCTTCATTGTTGGGGATGTGACCGAACTCCTCCCT